GGCGTCACAGCTCACAGCAACTTCCAACTCCTGGGCTTAGGCGATTCTCTTGCCTCAGCCTCCCGAGTAGCTGGGACTACAGGTACCCGCCACAATGCCCAGCTATTTTTTGTTGCAGTTTGGCCGGGGCTGGGTTTGAACCCACCACCCTTAATATATGGGGCGGGCGCCCTACCCACTGAGCCACAGGTGCAACTAGGTAGGTAAAACTATCAATGCTTGAACACACACCCAAGACTAAAATGTTTCTGCAGCACTGAGTGAATACAAACCATTGTAGCCTTGAATGGCAGAATCAATGATTGGTGCTGCTATTTCTTCATAGACATTTTTAGTTGTTTCATTACTATGAAAGACACGATCTATAAAAACAACAACACAGAAGTTAAACCAAGCTTTCATTCTGAATTAGTCCAAAGAAATAAGATTGTCAATCTAGGATGATAAAATATTTAAGAGAATATTAATTTTTTTTGTCCTTTGGAAAAAGCCCCTCACTGAGGCAAAATGTGTTGGTCCTTATGGACACAAAATACATTACAAGTCAATGATCCTATGTGATTTTATGAGGCATAGTGCTTGGACATGCGGGTCTGGAATCTGTCTGGATACAAATTATATAACTGTGATAATAACTGTTTTAAATATCAATTTATTATCTTACTTGTACATAATGAATAAACAACTTTTTGTTTCCACTGAAGCTGATTACAGAAGGCTTAGTTTGATGCTCAGTAACAAATCTAGTATTAGTAGTAAGCTTTTGGTCCTCTTAATAGTAAAAGGATAACAAGCTAATTTTTGATGCTATTGTATGCTTACCAAAATTGAAGGATTTACTTCCATCAACTTGATAAATGGCATTATTGTCAGTTTTCCAAAAAACTTGTGCAGTTTCTCCAAGTGCTTCTTCTCTAAAAGAATAATACTGCATTTTAGCATAATTGGTCATAAACATTATGTTATAGGAAGGATAATTTTAAGATTTCACCTCCTGAAAAATATCTTATTTTATTTTGAGACAGGGTATTGTTCTGTTGCTGGGGCTAGAGTGCAGCAGTACAGTCACAGCTCACTGTAACCACCAACTCCTGGGCTAAAGGATTCTCTTGGTGCAGCCTTCCAAGTAGATATGACTACAGGCCCATGCCACCATGCCTAGCTAGTTTTGTTATTTATTGTAAGAAGGAGGGGTGTAGGGATACATTGCCCATGCTAGTCTCTAACTCTTGGCCTCAAGGGATCCTTCCACCTCATTCTCCCAAAGTGCTAGGATTACAGGTGTCAGCCACCAGGCCTGGCTGAAGAATATTTTATAAGATAGTAGTAACATGTCACATTTAAGAGAAAGATGAAAAATCTAGTTTTGAGAATTCAACTCTCTTAAATGGGATTTTAGTCACCTTCTGCCCTTTGTTTTCCTTGTGAAATCCTTCATTCACTCCTTGACCCAACACTGGCAGCTGAGGGGACAGATTTATAATGCAACGGATTATGCCCCTCATGTTTGAAACCCTTGAAAACCTTTTGGAAACTTATGAAATTCTTAACATAGCACATGAGACCGGGACCATGTCATTTCTCTCTCCAATCTCCTTGTCCTCTAAATTTCTATATGAACCCTAACCTCCACTTGAAGTTGTGAAAAGACAGATTTACCCTCTCTGTGCCTGGAATATCCTGGCCCTCCTTTCCATAAAGTAACTTACCTCTTCTTTCACTCATGAAAATTGTCAAGACTTCCTGACAGCAGCTTACCCCACCCAAAGTATCCTCTTTCTTATAAGCTATAACTTTAGCCAACATTCTCCACCTGCCCATCATAACACTTGTCACAGCCTATCTTATAATAGGCTATCTTTATGTACATGTAAATGTACATAATCTTATAATAGGCCTATCTTTATGTACATGTAAATGTCTTCTTATGCACTAGCTAATTAAAAACAGGAAATCCCAGATCTTGATGTCCTCTTTTCTTAAACGCTGTGTTCAATAAAATTTTCTCAAACACAGAAAACGTTCACATTTTAGGGTCGAGGGCCAGGTTAGTGAAACAAAATGACTTCATTTATTACCCTTCTTGTTTTTCCCTATAGCATTTATTACATACATATCACTGCTTAACATTCTATATTTTTAACTTTATTTTCTGTCTCTCTCCACTAAAGAGGAAGATCCATAGGGCAACGATAGTAGGTTCTGTTTAGTGCACTAATTCTGTGCTAAAATCTATCTATTTTTCTTAGACAGATAAAAACTTGCAGAACAAATGAATGGATGAAGTCTTGAGTGCCCATTACATACCACGCGACAAGATAGACTAATCCTTGCCCTCAGGGAGTTGAGAGACAGCTGGGAAGACACTCTCCGATATGACATCTTCAAGGCTTAGAATGGGGTAGGGAGGCACAGATGCCGGAAAGGCACTGCCTCGCAGAGGGGAAAGTCTTTAACGTCAGCAAGCCCGTATTAGCAGATTTAAGTGAACCTCGCTGCTGGAAAGTACCTTTGGATTTCGGATCCTTCCCTGTCACTGTACAGTCAAGGAAAGTGACCCAAAGCTGGTAAGCCCCGAGTTACTAGGCAGCGCAGCCAGGAAGCAGCAACTGGGAAAGGCCAGAGGACTCACCCCTCTGGCTCGGGCCCGCGCCGCCGGCTGCCGTGGGCACCTGGCTGTGGTCTAGTCCACTTACCTGCTGTTGAGCGGGCGGACTCGCACGCAGACCGCCACCGCCCCCTCCTCTGCCATCCTTTCAGTGTGAGTCCCAGAAAAATGCCCCAGAACCTCCGCCACCAGCGCTCCAGACTCAAGGGCCGCCCCCGCCTTCAAGTTTAAAATTTCCCAAACGCCGCGTATGATTGGGCCAAGGTCTCGTGACGTCACGGGACATTCCATTATGGCGCTGTGAGACGGGGGGGGCCATGGCGCGTCCATCAGGAGGGGGATTGAATGTCTGTTGGAGAGAAGGAGGAGGGCGCTGCGGGAACGGACGAAGAGCTGACATTCAGCAGTTGTCTTGGTGATAGGGTATTGCTACTTGCTAAAAGCCACCGAACCCTGTCATCCATCCCACCCTTAAAGATTTTGTAGTCTGTAGATTTGCAATCTGTAGAAGAAACAAGGCAGGGATACATAATTTTTTACTAAGCACAATTCGATTTTTAAAAAACAACACTAATGAAGAAAGACAAACCTGTCAAATGATGAAAAGTGAAACTCATTGGCCAGTCTAGAAACGTTAAGAAGCTCCTTGCGATCCTTAGAAACTGTTGCGTTTAGATCCTTCCTTCCTTTTCTTTTCTTTTTTTACTTTCATTTCTCCTCTCCTTTGAAGAATAATTTTGCCAGATATAAAATTCTGGGTTCGTGGGGTTTTTTTTTCTTTCAATACTTTAAATATTTCAGTCCACTCATTTTTGCTTGCATGGTTTCTAACAAGTAGTTATCTGGAAATCTTTCCTTCTTTTTTAGAATTTTTTTTTTTTTTTTTTTTTTTTTTAAATAGAGATGGGGGTCGCTATGGTGCCCAGGTTGGTCTCAAACTCCTGGTCTCCAGTATCTTCCCACCTTGGCCTTCCAAAGTGCTGGGATTACAGGCACCTGCCTGGCCTGGAAATTTCTTGAATGCTGTACAGGCTTCCTCTTAAGGCAGGTGTGTCCAACCTTTTGGATTCTCTGGGCCATGTTATCAGAAGAGTTGTCTTGGGCCATACACTAACAAATGCACAGACACTAACAGAAGACCAAAAGGTGATAAACAAGAATAAAGTCCATACATAATTTTTATACCACTGCAGATAGGTAAAAAGCTCATGTAATAAATCTAACAAGCAGCACTTATTCAGAAAGTCTTTTAAAATTGAAGAGCAAGCCCCAGTTTGTGCTCACTCATATAGAAAATGTACATATCTAAGTAATAAAAAGTCTTTTTTTTATTATAAAAGTAAAAGTGGGCAACATAAAAGTCTTGGGATAGTTGACGCCGTATTTGAGAAAATAATGCATCAATAGCTGGTTTGATGAAAGTAGTTGCAATTCTCAGTGAGTTCTCAAGATGTTTATAAAGTATTTTGGTTCTAATTTTACTCTTAATATGCTTCATTCTTGAAAATAGTTGCTCACAAATGTAGGGGCTGCCAAAAAGGTGTGATTGTGAAGCAAGGGATATTTGCCTGTGGGAAGATGGGACCTATAAATGTCCAGTAAAGAGATGTCATCAATTTTTTCTTTAAGTTAAATATCGATTGACAGCTCTATACATTCCATTTGAAAATCATCTGGTAAATATTTATGTCAACTAAAAATAGAGTTGCAAATGCACCAAAATATTAAGTGTATTCCCAGAAACCTTAAAATCTGTTTTCAAATTGTATCAGATCAAAAAGCAAGGCTGCGTATTTTTCGGTATTCACAGGACTATGTTTAGCCAATGCGTCAAAATACGTAAAATTGTATGCCTTAATTTGAAATTGCCATAATTTCATTTGGAATGCTGTAAGGGTTTGAAATATTGTATTGATAAGTTGGTTTTCACCTTGAAGACACATGTTGCACTAATTTAAATGAGTGATTAAGTCCATTAAAAATGCTAAACCTATAAGCCTGTTTTCATTATATAATTCTGGCACAAATTTGGTTTTTGATACCATATTTCGGTCTTGATGACATGTTGCAAATCCTAAATTTTTTTCAGCATTTGGCCTTGACTTAGCTAACTTACTTCCAAAAAGTAAATGATGTCATCATCACTATCAATACTTTCAAGGAATCCCTGGAATTCACAATGATTCAATCCCTTGGTCCTTATGAAATTCACTGTTTTGATGACTACTGGTATGATGTTACCCAGTTTTAAAGCTTTCATGCATTAATTTTGTTGATTTACTATACAATTCTACTTCCTCAAATGTGAGTTTGGGGTGGCAATTGTAACATCTTCTATTAATTTTACAAGTACCTCTCTTCTCCCTGTCATCACTGGGGCACCATCAGTAGCAATTCCAGGATTTTGACAATGAATAAAGAAAGTCACTTGGACATGTTTTTTTTTTTTTTTTTATTTTGAAAACCTCTTTATTTTCATCCATGTTCTTAAATATGAACATGGGATAAAATGAACATTGAATTCCAAGGGCAAAATTTTTCTTCTTAGGACACAAAGCCTTTTTTTTTTTTTTTTCCTGGCCATTGGCTTGTTTTTTTTTTTTTTTGTTTTTTATTGAATGGTAACTATGTACATTAATGCACTTCTGGGGTACAGTGTGAGGTTTTCACATGCAATCTGAACTACTTCCATCAAACTGGTCAACACAGCCTTCATGTCATTTTCTCAGTTATTGTTTTAAAACGTTCACATTCTACTCTTAGAAAGATTCACTTGTACCCCTATAAGATAAACCTCAGAAGTGATCCCTCCAAACCCCCTCCCTCCACCCATTCCCCCTCCCTTTGGACATATTTTTTATAGCTTCATATAAATCTTTTGATTTAGTTGTGTCTTTTAATGGCACTGAAGATAACAATTTCTTCAGTGACATATTAACAAACCTCTAATAAAAATGACAAGTTGAGCCCTATTTGTAATATTGGTACTATCATCTGTAACCAAAGCATAAAATTTAAAATTAACAGCTTTACTCTCCAAACTTCCTTTGATAGATTTTCTAATTTCTTCAGTTCACCTGGCTACAGTCTGGTGAGATGAACTGATTATAGAACTACCTCCCTTTACTTCAGGACAAATTGTGTCTATCATGTTTTCCATACAATGCTTAATAAACTCATTGTCAGTAAATATGTTTTTGCTATTAAATATATTACCAAGTGACTACATTTAACAATGGAGTCTAAAAGAGGAGATTTTTGTTGAGAAGACAGACTTTTTTCAATTCTACTATTTTGTCCTTATGACACGATCTTTTATATGCATCGAATCTGGCAGCATGTTTTTTGCATATAATGCCTCTTCAAGTTATAGTCTTTGAAAACTTGCACAAATTGCCTATAAATTAAGCAGAGTCTCTTACTATTTGCCTTGATAAAAGAGTAGTCATCTGTCTACTTTTTATTAAACAGTCTTCCTTCATCTGTAATTTCCCTTTTGGGGGGGTTTGTGTTTTTTTGAGAATCCATGCTGTGATTTAAAAAATAATAGAGAAAGGACTATATTTACTTTTATTATAAAAGTTAATTAAGAGGAAAATCAAAAGCAAGGTTTGGGCCTTTCCACATCTTTGCTGCTGATATAGGTCAAGGTGAAGGGACAATTGTAAATCAGGGCAGGGGATGTGTGACGTACTGCTGAGATGTGGGAGTACCTTAATTATCAAATACAAATGCTTACTTGACTTCTAAATAACATTAAATATCTAATGCTGCAATAGTAGGTTGAACTATTATTGATAATCACTGCCTCGCCAAGTCACCACTAACACGTGTAATGTGTGATGGAGTCAATTCAACAGTCTGCCTTAGAAGCCTTACACTGGAAGTCTTACACTGCCTTATAACTGAAGCTACCCATGTGTACAAATAGTGAAAGCATAGGTAGGTTTATTTTATGTGACGCTGTGACACAACATTGTCATCTACAATGTACATGCTTGAGTACCATGCAATCGAAGTCCACCAAAAATTCACAGAAAATAGCATAATGTTTTAAGTAAGTTTCTAATTTTGTGTTAGGCCATATTTATAACCATCCTGGGCTACATGAGACCCATGGCCATGGGTTGGCCTCCTGTCTTAAGGCCCTTGTGGGGGCCGGTCTTTCCGGCTGGCAGGTAATTACCCTAGATATCCATGTTGGCCTCCTTCCCTTTGATTCCTGTATCTGCTCAAATGTTATTTTCCCAGAGCTTTTTCTGTCTAACATAGCAATTCCCTTGTCTGTTACTTCTATTCCTTTGATCTTCATCTTTTAAAATATCCTTTATTACTTTTAGACATCATACGTATGTATTAATTTATGTATATATTATCCACCTCCTCCCACCAAAGTGTTGACTCTATGAGGTTAGCGACATAGCTTTTGTTTACTCCTTATCCACTGCACCTGAATGATACTTGACACAGAGTAAACATACAATTAAAAAATTGCTTATTCAATCACTCGGTAAATACTTATTGGCATAATTTCTAGAGAGATACATAGAATACATCTAGCTTTCTTTGGAGAAGTAGGACTGAGTTGGAAAATAGATTTACTTCTTATTGTATACTATTTCATAATTTTCAATATTTTAACCATGTGAAAGTTAGTTTCTCTCTGGGTGGCACCTATAGCTCAGTGGGTAGTGTGCAGGCCACATACACTGAGGCTGGTGGGATCGAACCCGGCCTGGGCCAGCTAAACTGACGACAACTGCAACAACAACAAAAATAACTGGGCGTTGTGGTGGGCGCCTGTAGTCCCAACTACTTGGGAGGCTGAGGCAAGAGAATTGCTTAAGACCAAGAGTTTGAAGTTGCTGTGAGCTATGATGTCACAAGTACTCTATGGAGGGTGACATACAGAGATTCTGTCTCAAAAAAAAAAAAAGTACATAAAATAGAGTCTACATCGTCAAGATTTGATTTCTTATCCAGTTGTGCTAGTAGAGACTACCTTTTTTTTGTGGCTAAATTGTGAAGATGCTGGGCTATATCTAATAAGATAATCTAGAGTTAAGGAAGGTATGTTTTAATTTAAATAGAGTGGTCAGAGGAGGCACAAAGATTACGTAACTTATCTATCTGAATTCCAGGAA